ACACACACACACACACACACACACACACACACACACACACACACACAGCGCTTGAATGGATTCCACATTGAAGCAAAGATTGATTTGCCACCATTAATGTGAATCACATCACAGTTTTGGCGTGTGACACAGCTGGCATTCATGTACAAAGTGAAATAAATAAATAGAAAAGTAGATAGGCCTATATCACTACCATCGGCATGCACCTCTCTCTGGGCTTAGGCCCTGTCCACGCTACTCCGTTTCTCCTTGGCTGCAGAGTTGACAAATAGAAACGATCTCCGTCCACACGGGAGTTTCAGCATCATTCTCGAGTTGATCTGCGTCCACATGGCAGCCTTCGAAGGCGGACAGCACGTGACCATTAACGTACACTGGGCATGCGCGTGACGGTGTAAACAGGAAGTGGATTGGTTGCTTAGTTAAAAAAAATAAAATAAAAATACGACAGAGTAATAAAGTAGTCTTTAATAATGAAAGGTTGTATTTGATACTTAACATCTTCCTCTAAAATCTCCCTCTATAAACTCAAACAGACAGTTCGTGGAAAGTTTTATTTTTCAGACGTAGTTACAGCGCTGCGGGTCTCTCTCTCTCTCTCCAAATTTACTTTAACATCAACACTTACACATAAACGTTTACTAGATCATGGGTCCATCAATGTGGTCTCTCACTCGTTTCCTCCGTGTTGTTGATGTCTGTTCTCACTAGTAGCTCTGAACATCATGTCCGCCTAGCTAGCTTCTAAGCTAATTTTAACATTACCGCCAATGGAGAAATCAATGTGGTCAACACACGTCTCTCACTCTATTCTGCTCTTGCTTCGTGCAGGAAAGCTTAGCAGATCGCTAACAGTAGATCCGTGAAATAAAGACCATGGAATCCGTAGAAGAGTTTCAAGACTTCAGTGTGAATCTTTCTTATTTGTAAAACTGTGGAAACACAATATGAAATATGGCTTTACAAACTGTTCCTATACACATACATGAACACAAAACAACAATACATGATATAGCCAGCATGTAACATGTCCGCCTAGCTAGCTTCTAAGCTAATTTTAACATTACCGCCAATGGAGAAATGCTAACCGCGATTAGCATTTAATACAACACAAATGTTATACTAAACACGCGAATAGAATATATCTACGTACATCTTTTCATGCTTCATAAATACATACTTACAGACTAAGGTCTCTCAAGGCTACCAAACGGAAGAAGTAAAACGTTAGTGCAGCGTGTCTTCTCATTAGAATCTAAAAACAACGAGCTGCTCCATAAGGCTGATGCTAGTCACGCCGCTCGCTAATCACTCCAATAACAGCTGCTTCCTCCACAAAAATGCAGACTTTTACTGCAGCAACGCTTGCAATTAGTTATCCATGTTGAAATGAATCGCTGGTAGCCCAGTTTGTTTTCTTCCGGGTACGGGTCACGTGATAGTGAGTGTGACGAATCAGGGACGGAGACGTCATGGTTGCCAAGAACCGATCCAGTAGCGAACACGGGTGTGGGCGTAATTTTTTCTAAGCACATCCGTATCCGACCGTCCACACGCAAACGCAACCCCGGAGTTCTCAAACACCTCCAACCTCGGCGGAGTTTTCAGATTCCTCCGTTTAGGGTGCTCCAAAACTCCTGCGTAGTGTGGCCGCTCAGTGTAAACGTAGCAAATACGGAGTAAAAACGGAGTAGTGTGGACGGGGCCTTACCTCATAGCACAATTTAATACCACTCACGTTTGAAAGAGACATGTGTGGTCTGCAGCACAGAGAGAAGACAGACGGTCTGGTTGGAGAGGTCTTTTATTTCAGAGCACATGTACACTCTCCTGGTTTGGAAAACAAGTAGGAATAAAGTAAAACAAGGGATTTAACTTGAAATAATTTTGCATCAATGCAAAAAATACTCCGGTACATGCACAGAAGCATTATCAGCTGATATTATAAAGTGTCAAAAGCAACCCCTAGTCAAAAATGTATTGGAGTAAAAAGTAAAAAAAGTGTATTCAGTACTGTACTTGAGAAAAGTTACTTTCCACCGCTGGTTTTATAAAAACAGTTTGGCTGTCATTATTTTCGTCTCTTTTACGGATGAGTGTATGGGTGAATGTTTCTATCTCTTATCTACTCTAGTTGTAATAGTTTGGCAGTAACCTGTCATATAAAAAGGTTTACAAAAGTTTGATCGATTGATAATGCATATCAGGACACTCACAACTTAAATCCATTCACAAAACATCCTGACCTTGTTTTGAAGAGCACATAATGGTAACTGATGCGTTTTATCAGTGCCTATAAAACATTATGCATCCATAATGAATCATAATCATCTCATGAATGGTTATGTCCTATTGTCTGACAACCTCCTAAAAGCCATATTACTTTTAAAGCTTTCAAAATGCATCGCTTGACAAAGAGAAAAACCTTGAAATTTCTCACGGTGAGAAGTTGCGATTCTTGATGAATCACAATTTACTGTGAGCACTCCGTTGTGCTTTGATAGCGCACGGTGACTCATACTGAAATACTGATTATTGTTTCTTACAAGTGTCTGGAAACTGCCTGAAAGGTCATTAAACACATTCACGCTTGCACTTCTTGCGATGCAGTAGGATGCAACTGCAAGCATATTGAGTGAGTAAAAATCTCCATTCTACTTTTGTCTCTATGAGACATAACTTCTCTGATCAATCTTTTCCTCTTCTTAGATGCTCCAGTGTGAGTTAATGGTCGAGGATGCTGGGACACTGAGTGCTTAATGGTTGTTTAGTTCATGGAACTCACTCAAACAGTGATGTGCAGTCTTGATGATGATGTGTCTGATGTTCAGGTCATGAGCCATTTATGTACTCTAACAGTTGAGGTCGGACTGCTGAGTGCTTAATGGTTATTTAGTTGATGCAAATGATTCAAAGACACTCATGAAGAGTGGAGAGGCAAATCTGGTCATTACAGTAAGTAGAGGATGGAGCTGGAGAGAGGGTTTGTGATAAATGATACTGCTTTTGAAATACGTTTCAG